ACAAGATCTACTCTTATTTGATTGTGACACAAGCATTGCTCATTGCTCATCACATTCCTCAACATCCACTAAGATTCAACACTCTAACTAGGTGCAGGAGATGTAGGTGTACACCTCAGACGGACCAGACTGCATAGACAGGAGTATCAGAATGTGTAAAATTGATTAACTTTTAAATGAATAACCATAATTTCAGTTTAAAATGAATGACCAAAAATTAGGGTGAAAAGGATGATTAACTAATTGAGAGTATAGTAATTATAGCATGTGCAGCACAAATTTTAAACTAAAGAAAGCAGACATCAAAGGTTGAACTAATTCTATCAGAACATTGGAGTCTACAATATAGCTCTCAGATCAGATTGATATCCTGTAACCTTGGACCTTGAAACAGAATGAGGAAATGACCTCTCATGAAGGACTCCCATTTCCCTACACACACGTTTTGCAAATACTTTAAAGATCTGAAGAAGAATAAAGGTCCCTTGCTCTCAACTCACAGATCACAGACACCTCACACTTCACTTCAACACCTTACAACCAATAGCAGACAAGCCTTGGATCAGAATTGGTCCCCAATGACTCGGCCTCTCATTAAAGCATGTGATGAAACAAGTAGTGCCCTGGATGACAATGGGCCTACTACGCTTGGCGCTACACGCAGCACATATTCGGGTCTAGGACACGGCAGAGGGCACAACACGCGGTGCGTTCAAAGGGAATGCAACCGCGCAGCAGCAGCCTGCAGAGGGCTGAGGTTAGGGGGGCCCTGTACCTGCTCAACTCCAAGCTCTCCTCGTACCTGTCACGCTGACACGAGGCACCTCCCGGAGCGACGACGCTCTCGCAACGGACCTACCTGAGCTGCGCAAGTCGGCAGATGTGCCCCTCCTGCGAGTGACCTTGGTGGGCCTATGTGATCTCATCCTTAGCCGCGAACGCTGCCAGTTACATGCTATGGCAGTAGCACAGCCAGTAGCAGACAACACCCCGACAGACTCAACCATTTTCACCTTTTTGGACCACATGCGGGTTAAATACCTTGAGAGAGCAAAACCGGTGGCAGCTCGGGGTACTCGCCGTACTCCTAACGGCTTCTTTCGATAGTCTGCGACATCCAATGGTCAGCTGTTTATTTTAAGGATTGCCCCGAAGCAAAGTTTCCTACGGCGTAGCAGACGCCAAGCAGACGCCTCTGGCGTCACCGCCCTGTGCTATGCCCTTCGTCGCGCCGCGGCCCGCGGCCCGCGAGAGAGTCCTGCGCCGCGCTTTGCAGGGGGCCGTGAGCTCAGCAAGGACGCGTTGTGCGCGCCAGCTTTCAAACGGGCGCGCGGCACTGTGCTCGCGGTGCTGGGCGGTGGGGCGGTGCTGGGCGGTGGGGCGGTGCTGGCGCACAGCGGTGCAGGCCCCGGGGCACGGGGCACCCTGAGCATTGGTGTACCGCGGAGGGCCTCGCTCTTGGATGACGCACTTCCGCGCGCGGGGAGGGGGAGGGGGAGTCCGAGACAACCTCCTTCGGACCGCCTCCGGGTACCTGCGGGTGCCTTTGGCTCCGGCCTGCAGCCGCCTGCAGCGCGAGGAGCCCCGGGTCATCCTGCGGTTATCGTCTCCTCTCCTCCCGCTCGCCTCCGATGCGGCGTGCGGCTCAGCCACCTCCCGACCTAGCACACTGTCTGTCAGAACACGACTGTACTCAAGCGATAAGCGAAAGAACTCGGATGAATTAATTATGTGCAACGAAGGTTTTGTTTTCTTTGGGTTGGCCGCGTCGTTGTTGTTGTGTTAGCAAATTCTATTTGCAAGCACTTTTACCAGGCGGGTCGATGTCGACGTCAACCAACATCCCTCCAGGCCCATTTCCTATTCTCCCCTATTGTGTACCGCCCCCTCGGCCCCTTCCCCCGGCACGGCCAAGGTGAGCAGCCCGGCCGCCCGGCCCTGCTGCGGCGGAGCTGCTCCGGAACTCCAGGCCAATGGCGTGAGGTTGCCCTGTGGTCATGCCGAGTGCCGCCGAGGGTCGCGAGTGCGAAGCGCAGGAGGCCTGTGCGCCCGGCGAGGAACTGCAAGCCGCCGCCGGTCAGGCCCGAGAACAAGAGCCTGCGCCCCCCGCCTCCTTTATAACACCGGAACCGGTCGGAGGGACGCATCATTTCAGC